GCCTATGCATGTGTGTACAGCGACGTGGCGGCTCCTGCCCCTGTGGGGTCCCGAGCACTGCTGTCGCTATCTGGCTGGATTATGGCCATCGCTTTGAGCAGCATAACCTTCCTGTAACACGAGGGGCTGCGTTTGCTTTTGTGTAAAACCGCTGCAACACAGAGGACAGCGTGAAATTAAGTTTCTGGTTCTCAATTACTTGACCTCTTAATATTTAACTAAACAGCAATCCAGCTATGGCTCAGGGAAAGCAGCCAGGGCGGAGGGGAAAGCCCCACACAGCCCTGTCATGGTGCAACACTCCCAGCTTTGCACCCCCCTGCGTTTTCCCCCTTTCCTACTTCTCCCTGTCCTCTCTCTTGCTAGCAGGCAGGAAAACTGACATAAAACCTCCCTGATGCTAAACTTCATACTCTGTCAAAGTATACATTTTCTTTTGAACTGCCAGCACTCTGTTTTCACCATTCTCCTCACCACTCAGCTTCTGATGCCAAATGAGTCCCATGTCAGCCCACTGGCAGGGAGGCTCCTCTCCAGTCTCCTGCTGTCACCAGTAACCAGCAGCATCCCAACACCTCCAGAAGCATCACCCCAGGACCTCCAGCATCCCTGCGCCCCTTTGCCAAGGCACCACGTTTGCTCTTGTGAAGGGATTTTCTTCTTGCCAGGATCAGCATAGAACTGGCACCTTGTGTGCACCCTGCCATTGCCAAGGTGCTCACAGCAAGTGCTCAAGGTCCGCACGTACTTTGAAACAGAAATGAGACTTTGGGATGAGGGATATTTCTAAACTGGATCCACTTGCACAAAGCTCACGCTCCAGCTGCTCACGCTCCAGCTGTGTTTCCCTGTTTGCCATGGCCAGCACGCTCTGTCCCTGGAGACAAGCCATGTGCCACAAACCCTATCATGCCATGCCCTGCCCCAGCCCACCTCCTCCCAACCAGGAGATGCTGCCTCAGAGGGGGTTCAGTACCCAGTAGCAGCTGCCTGGCCCCTTGTGAGCAGGTAAATGGCTGCTCCCTGCTCTGGGAACAGGCAGAGACACCGCTGAATCATCCGGCTGGTATTTAACGCCTGGACAGCTGCTCCAGGGCTGTGCTGCTGCTCCCAAGCTCCTAACCCCATCAGACACCTTGACCTGGGCAGCCCCCTCCCTCTTCCCTGAGTCCCCAGCAGAACTCATGGTCCCCTGAGACATGCAAACCCACCACCTTAGACGAGCCCTTCGGTTTTGTTCTGACCTGGCACTGGGCAGTCTGGCGACCCCAAAACTGGGAGGATGAGGCAGCAGCACCCACAAGAGAGCCAGGGAGACCTCGGCATCTGTGACCAGATTTTGGCTGTCTGATCGTGGGAAGCTAATGGC